GCCTCGGAGGCAGGAGGATCCGAACACCCTGCATCCAAACAGCCTGGATCTCTCTCCAGGATGGCTTTGGACATGGGGACAGGGTTCATTTAGGAGCTGTGGTCACATCCACGCCCATTTATCCATATCTTCTGGATCTGGGTGTGTAAACCCCAGGATAATGTCAGGATTGTCTTTGTCTTAACAAACACCTCAAGGAGCTGCTCTGTGCATCCCGAGTTTTTCAAACATTAATTATCACAAACACAGTCAAAAGAACATCCATTTTTTTTTGACATAATGCTCAGCACTGGCAGCATTTCTGGAAGGAGCTTTGACACCCTGTTTACACACGTGTCAAAAGTGCAGGGCTGCCATTCCCCCTGGATCTGCAGCTCATCCGGAGCTGTCAGGAACACTCCGGAGTCCCACGTTGTGCTGGACTGATGTCCTCGAGTTTTTGGGTCTGAATTGGGAATGAGAGTGTTGTTGTGAGGAGAAAAGGCATCATCCCAGGGGCTTGGTTATGGGGGAAATGCCATGCTGGCATCCCATCTCCTGCCTGCCCACACAGCCTGGAAAAGTGCCGGGAAGAGCCTCGTGTTGTGTCGAGAGACGCCAGGTTTTTTTGTTTCTCAGGAGGTGAAGAATTGCTGGCTGAGCCAAAGGCTTGGATCTGTGCTTCTGGCTCTGGAAAGCAGGGTGCTGGCCAGTGGGAACTGGGTGGATTGCCATCCTCTGAGGGTTGTGTGGTGGTGGGAGTTGGGATTGGCGGGAGGGAACAGTTGTGCGTGGGCAGGGCGGGACGCGGCAGAGCGATGCTGCTCTTTGAGGAGGCACTGGATGGTCTTCAATAAGCACCACCGTAGGTGTCCTTGGAAAGGGCAGTCAGGGAGATCTGAGGTCTGGGCTGAGGGCCATGGTGACCCTGCCAGGTTTTGTGGAGCATCTCAGCTCCCCCAGGAGCAGGCAGGGATAAAACGTGGAGAAAACTGAGGAAAAAGTGTGGACTTGGTGAGACTTGTGTGATTTGCACCAATGCCACCTCACTGGGAAGGGGTGAGGGCTGCAGGGATTTTGGGTGGCATCTGTAGCCATGGCAACAGGTTCTTTGGCTCCTCCTTGGCAGCTCCTTGGCTTCTTGTCCTGGAGCCAGTGCAGTGCCTGCCTTGGGATCGACCTCGTCTCCCTTCAGCTCCGACACGGGCAACACAGAGCACAAAGAAATCAGGATCAAAGCCATCTTTGTAAGAAAATGAACCTCAGGTGTGTAGTTTCCATAGGGGTCCTCTCCCAGTGCTAAAATCCCTGCTGTAGCTGGGATGTTTAGGGAATCATGGAATCATTTAGGGTGGAAAAGACCTCCAAGGTCACCAAGTCCAGCCTGTGCCAAATCCCCACCTTGTCCCCCAGCCCAGAGCATTCAGTGCCACATCCAGTCCCTCCTTGGACACCTCCAGGGATGGGGACTCCAAACTTCCCTGGGCAGTCCTTTCAATGCCTGACCACCCCTTCCATGAAGAAATTCCTCTTGATACCCCCAGGACAGTGTGCTTTGTCCCTGTCTGACATCCCAAACTTGTCCAGACGCAAACCCATTGAGAGCTTTGCTCCCAAAAAACATGGAGCTTCCAGGAGGATGGTGTTTGATGGGACCAGGCAGACTTGTTGTCTTCCTCATCCACATCCCTGGCAGAGAAACAAGTGCCAGTCTGATCCAACATGGTGGTTCCAGAGGGAGCAGGGAATGGAGTTGGCCGTGGTGATAAAGGATGTGATTGATCCCGCTTATGGATATTGAATCTGCACACGCTTCCCTCCTTCCAAGGAGTCTTGGAAATAATCCCAGCACTTGGACCTGATGTGTAGAGGGAAGGGACCCTGGTGTTTCTGAGTCTGTGGGTCTTAAGGCCTGATCTGGGCAACTTCCTTATCAAAAGGTGTCTGAATTTGTCCGAACTGGGAGCTGAAAATGAGTGTGGTGGATTCAGGGATACTTGGAACCTGTCGTTCCCTTTTTCTAGAGTTTGCCAGCTCCCAGAGTCCTCCAGCAGAGCCCTCCCTGACCCCTATTAAGCCTAGATTGGCTGATTTTAATTGATTCCTTTTCCACATTAGCAGCCACATGTGCACATGGGAGAGCTGGAGAAGCCTTGGCTCCCCATGTGCTTTCCCCAGAAATAGAGGTGGATGGGAAGCAGCTCAGCTTGGAACAGGGATGGGGGTGGGACGAAGCTCATCAGCTCCCAGATGTGCCAATCTTGCCTTCCTTGATGGGTGGGAGCAATGGTGGCACCTCTGGAGCCGAGTCCCAAGTTTGGGATGGAAGGAGTGGTCAGCCACCATCTGGGAGACGTGATATCCCTTTTCTTCATGGAATCTGAACTCCTGCCTGTTCCTCGGGGAAGGAGCTTTGCCCCAGGTGAGGCTCTGGGCAGATCCCACCCCTGAGGTCGATGCTGAGCTGGGTTTTGCTCCAGCCCAGTCCTTGGGACAGGGAACAGGACACATCCCTGGAGCAGCTCTGGAGCGTCGCCCTGACTTCCTTCGCTTATTAACAAACCGTCCGAGCTGGTGCCAAGAAAAGGGATTGACAGGGCTGTAAATCCACATCCTCCCTGGAGGGCTGTGCTGGCAGGAGCTCCCTGCTTTCCCCTTCCAAGTGCAGATCCAGGTCAACTCCTCAGAGTCGTTTGTCTCCGGCGTCTCCAGCCCCGTAATTCCCAGCTGGGCGGTCAGGGGGAGCGCGGGGTGTCCCCATCCCCCTCTGCTATTCCCCCCCAGCCCATCTGGCTTCAGTTGGCACATCTTTGGGAATGATGGAGGCAGATCCTTCCCCTGAAAACCTGTCATCTCCCCAAATTACCCTGCTCTCCTCAGGGCATATCCTCCTGGCTTTTATTCCTCCCAAAAACCTGACGGGATCAATGAGGCTCCTGGTTTCTTGCAGAGTTTGCTCTTTGCCCAGAAATCCAGTTCCCTTAAGCTGAGCCACCAAAACTTCTCCAAGGGCACAGACACTCTTCATGTTTTCACCCTCAAATTGTAAGTAGCACTTAATTTAAAGCCTAAGTGTGAAGCCTCACTAGCAAGGAGATTGCTGGAAGATACTGATTTTCCTGCATTTTTTTTTGTATTTATGGATAAAAACGCACTATAAAGTATCAGTTAAGGACATTACTGCAGGGCAGACTCGAGATTTATGCTCTGCTTTAGTTCTCTTGAAGGTCTTTTTAAGATCCATTCATCCAACGTGGCTGTGAGCGACAAAAACTGGGAGCAGATGGGCTTCGTGGAGTTGTGGGGCTTGAATCAAAAAATCCCATGTGGTGGAACTGAATCACCTTGAGTTTGTCTCAAAAACCTGCTCAGGAGGTTCATGGTTTTGATCTCCGGGCCATTTAACTGATGGCAAAGTGTTTTAAAGGGAATTATTCCCAAGGAAAAACCCAAAACAAGACAGGCAGAAGGACACAATCCGGGATGACTTTGAGTCTGGAGGGGTCGGATTTTGTGTGCAGGTCCTGCCACTGGTGCTCTGCTCCTTGTTTGGAGCCTTGAGGTTTGCTGTGAGGGAAGGTGGGATTTTTGGTAGGTGTGCTGGGGCCTCTGTTGTTGTCCTCTGGCTGATTTCATGTCCTTCTCACTGTCTGAATCTCCTCAGAGAAGGGAAACCCCCGACTCTGTTTTGCCGGAGCGCAGCATTTTCAGATCTGCTGAGGGAACATCTTTTGCTGGGTTTTGACAGAGCTCTTGGCTTGGGATTGTTCAGAAACAAGACTGTGGCAAAACCCATCCTTAAGATGATGGAAAAGTGGGAGAAACAGCCCTGGGTGAGGGATTGAGACCTCAGAGGGTGAAAAGGAACAGAGAGAGTGTTGGGAGCTGAAGGGGATGAGTCACGAGGAGCAGCATTGACGTTTGAGAGGGAACATCCCAGAGGAAAGGTGGATTCTCCCACTCTCAGAGTCTTCAAGGGGAGACAGGATGCCTTCCTGGCCTCCCCCAGTGACAGCTCAGCTCCCTGTGACCTGGAGCACACAGCAGGTTTGTGTAGGTGACTCATGGAATCCCAGGATGGTTTGGGTTGGAAGGGACCCTAAAGCTCATCCCCTTCCACTCCCTGCCGTGGGCAGGGACACTTCCCACTGTCCCAGGTTGCTCCGAGCCCCGTCCAACCTGGCCTTGGACACTTCCAGGGACGGAAGGTCATTTCTCACCCGGCCTAATCAGCTCCTGAGTTGTGTTTGTGCCCATTTCATGCCCGAGAAATCCAGTGCTTTTTAGAGGCTCATTGAAATGTAAAACTTTTAGGAGAGGGAGAAACGTTTCAAGCCCCTGAATTGAATTCTCTTCCCGTTGCCCCTAACCTGTTTTTCTGAGGTCAATTGCTTGTATTAAAGCGTAAAAGTTTCCCAAAAATTCACTTTTATCTTCCTCAAGAGTTCTCTTTTCTGGAACACGATGCCCTCATTTCCAGAGCCCTGGATGTGGTGTCAGGATCAAAACCCGGCCTGTAATCCCTGTAAGAGGGAGAGGAAGGGTGTGAAGCTGTGCCAGGGGAGGTTTGGGATGGATATCAGGAAAAAGTTCTTCCCCCCGAGGGTGGTCGGGCCCTGAACAGGTTCCCCATGGAATGGTCACTTCCCAAGGCTGCCAGAGCTCAAGGAATGTTTGGACAACACTCTCAGGGACAGGGTGGGACTGTTGGGGTGTCTGTGCAGGGCCAGGGGTTGGACTGGATGATCCCTGTGGGTCCCTCCCAGTTCTGCATTCTAATTCTATTCTGTGATTCTAAGAGGAGGGAGAAATCCAGTAGGATTTGACAGCAGGATAAGGGGAATTCCTGGAGCCGATGGCAGAGTGAGCTGGTGCCTTTTGGTTGGAAGGAATTCCCCACCACGGGGGCTTTGAAGCGGCGCCGGAATGCGGCGCCGCCACACTCGGAATGCACAACCCCAGCCCCCAGATCCCATCCCTGGGCATGGGCACCCACCATAACTCCATGTTCCACCCGCCAGGTTGTCCGTACGGAGAAGAACAGCCTGAACAACCGGTTCCTGCCCTGGGACGAGATCGAGACCGAGGCCATCCTGTCCATCGACGACGACGCCCACCTGCGCCACGACGAGATCATGTTCGGCTTCCGGTGAGACGCCCTGGCACACACGGCCCTGGCACCCAAACTGGGGCTCTCCACATCCCGGGGTGGGCTTTCCACATTGCCAAAGCCAGGGCCAGAGACAGGGACAGCACATCCCTTCCCATGGCTCCCCGACTCCGTGTGCTGTGGAGGAACTCGCCTTTTGGGGCGGTTTAACCAGTGCAGGTTGTCCAGGGAACTCCAGTTCTCCCATTTAACCTCAACTCTTTGGCTTTGGCTGTGCTGAGAATGGTCCCTGAGTGGATTTCGGGGTCTGTGCCTCCCTAGGGTGGATGGGAACCAGAAAACAAATCCCAGAGGCTGTTGTGTTGCACTCCATCCTTCACGGGCCGTAGGCAAGGCCAGGGCATTCCCGACCACTCCAGGACGTGCTGCTCCTGTGCTGCCATCCCCTGCTCCAGGGGACCTTGGGGTGGGATTTGGGCATTTTGGGCACTTCATTCTGCAGCATGGAAAAGGGAGATGTTCCCCAGCGAAGGCTGGTGCTGGTTACTCTCATTCCCACTCCCCTTCTGCTCCAGCCTCTCCGTTTTCCCCTTGACTTTTCCCTGGCAAAAGGCTTTTCCTGAGCAGGGGGGCCGAGGGAGAAATCAGTTCTATGGGTTCCTGCTGTGGGAGGTTTGTGGCAGCTGCTCCTGCAGCTCCCACAGCCAAACCTCCCTGCCAAAAAGTGCTGGGAACAAGGATGGCACGAGGAGCGAGGACGGCACGAGGAGCAGCGGCCGCGATCCCGAATCCGGGAACACCCGACAGCTGCCCGGGGGTGGGAAACAGGGACCAGCTCTCACCAAAACACACTGGCTCGTGTCTGGGAGGAGGATTAAAGGGCACAAAGCATCTGGAAAGCCACCAAGCTCCCTCAAAGGGATGAGGAATGAGGTGTCAGAGGGATGAAAGTCCTGGAGGAGGCGTCAGGACTCCTGGCTTCCCTTCCCTGCCCCATTCCAGGCTCTTTGTCTCAACTGGGCTGTTACCCCCCCAACCCCCCCTTTGGAATCTGTTTTCCTTTGCCTGGAGAGCACCAAATGAAGATTGTAAGGGCTGTGTGTTATTCCCTCTCATATCCCTGCTTACAGACACCTTGTTCCCACAAAGCCTCCCTGTTCCCACCCTCAGCCAAGGAGGAGCCGGAGTCTTGGCCGGAGTGACCCCACAACAAGTGTGTTTTGTCAAAGCTTTCCTTCAGGCTCTGGTTTTTGGGGCCAAAAGCCTCGTTTTTCCCTGTTGGAGGCTCGGGAAGGAGCTGGAGGCAGGAACCCTGAGCACACCCAGAACCATTTTCCGGAGAAATCCCGTTTTTTGTGGCTGAGCCGGGAAAGAAAACGTGTCACGTTGGAAGGAGAGTGAGACGTGGGAGGAGTGAAAGGGAATAAGCGGTTTCGACTTCCAGCTTTTCAAAACAATCCCACTGGATTGACAGGAACAGCAGCAAACAAGGGCTGGGGGGGAGGATGGAGCCGGGGAAGCTGCTGGTGATGGTAATTACTCAGGATTCATTTCCAGGTTCTTTTGGAGTTTCATTAATTGGAGCAGAGGACTGAACAATGAAGGAAAACTCAGGGAATCTTGGTCTCCTCAGCAGCTCTCCCGTGGCTCTCCAGGAACCTGGGTTGTGGGAGGAATTCACATCAACACAAGGGAAAAAAAAACCCCCAAAAGGCCACTTTCTGCCCTGTTCTGTGCCTGGGGAAAAGGGAAGAAACCCTTCTGTGTCCCACAGGGAGTTTGCTCTTGCAATCTGGAGTCACTGGGTTTGGATGGAGATGGGATGGGATGGGATGATCCAAAGGGCAGCCCTCACCCCTGCCTTGGAAGCTGGATTTATTTCCCAGATCAGGCCTTAGGCACTGACTTTTTCCTTATTTATTCCTGCCAGAGTTGCAGCTCCTGTGGGATTTCTCTCGAGGAGCTTCAGATGAGAGCAGAATGTTAAGCAATCCCACGCTCCCACTCTCAATCCTCGGGATTTAATTCCCTGTGGCTCCACCGTGAGTGTGTGTTGGAGTGAGGGACGTGCTTGTGGCCCCAGAGGATTTTCCTCCAAAACTGGGGAGCTGCCAGGGGCTGGTTTGGGATGGGGAGCAGTTCCAGCTGGAGAAACCAGGCCCAGCATCTCAGCAGCTTTCACAGAATCATGGAATCTCACAGAGCCCTGGAATGGTTTGGGTGGGAAGGGACCTTAAAGCTCATCTCATTCCATCCCCTGCCATGGGCAGGGACACCTTCCACTATCCCAGGTTGCTCCAAGCCCTGTCCAACCTGGCCTTGGAGCTTTCCTAAAGGGAAGGTGATTTCTCCTAAAAACTGATTTCCTAAAAATTGGTCTCCTAAAAATGGAATTTTTGCTCAAGGGAGATGGATTGACATTATCTCAGCCCCACAGAGCAGGAACCTGAGCTGTGGGAGATGGAAAGCTGCAGGGATTTGGGGAGGAGGCCAGGAGTCACTGGGCTTCTCCCTTGGCTGCTCCCTACTTAAGTTTTCCTTTAAACCTCCACAACAGCCCTCGCGAGACAGAAAAACCCTTGATTTATGGATTGGGAACTCTTTCCCTGTGCACAAACAACTCAAAGCCCATTTTAACAATGTTTATCCCTTCTGGACATCCAGTGGATGAGCAGCTGCCCAACTTTTTGATGCAGCAGCTCCTCTTGCTTCCCTCAGGAACCTCTGCTGGCCTCGAGGGCAGAGTCCCAAGTCGTGCCCAGCCCCGGATGGGCCCCCAGGGCCTCACCCCCAACTCTTGTGTTTGCAGGGTCTGGAGGGAGGCCCGGGATCGGATCGTGGGCTTCCCGGGGCGCTACCACGCGTGGGACATCCCCCACCAGTCCTGGCTCTACAACTCCAACTACTCCTGCGAGCTCTCCATGGTGCTCACTGGTGCTGCCTTCTTCCACAAGGTGAGACCCCCCCGGCTGCAGCCGCCTCTTCCTCCTCACAGGAGCTTCTTGGGAGGGGTGGAGTTCTTTTAAGGATGAATTTTGGAGCTCTCTGCTCATCTTCCCTCACTTCCTCCAAACTGGTCCTGAGCCATCCCAGTGCTGACTCCCCAGCAACAGAGACAGCGAGGTCTGGGGGGGGGACAAAACCCCCCATTCCTCGATTTCTGAGGTTCCAGGATTCAGGGAGGGTGGTGGCTGGGGAGTGATTTGCTGCTGCAGGATTAACTCCATTACTGGGAATCTCCCCGTTGTTTTCCTTCAGTTTTGAGTCAAACACGTCCCAACATGTCCCATAACTTGATACTCAATTATGGAGCCATGAGGTGGCACCAGCAGGGGTTGGGCACTTCCTGCTGGGACCACCCTGACCGAGGCTGTGCCTCTCCCTGTCTCCCTGTTTTCCATAGTACTATGCCTACCTGTATTCCTACGTGATGCCCCAGGCCATCCGGGACATGGTGGACGAGTACATCAACTGCGAGGACATCGCCATGAACTTCCTGGTCTCCCACCTCACCAGGAAACCTCCCATCAAGGTAAAAGCTCTGGGAAGGGTCTGTCCTGTGGGAAAGGGGAAATCCAGCTCCAGGCATGGAAGCTCAGCCCATGGAATCGGCCAAATCCCGCCATGGTGAGCGGGGGGATTGAGGTTTGATGTTACCAGACCAAACCAGACCAAGTTCCTGGTCTAGTGGAAGGTTCCCTGCCTTGGATTCATGGCAGGGGGTTGGAACAAAATGATCTTTAATGTTTCCCTTTCAACCCAAACCATTCCATGGTTCTCTGACTTGTGCTGCAGCTCAGCCCGGAGCGTTCCTGGCTCAGCAAAGAGCAGCTGATCCCAAACCCACAGATTTCCTTCTTTCCAGCACAAGTCCCACTGGTTTCTTACTGATTTTGTGAGGCTTTCCAGAGCCATTCAGGCTCATCTGTGTTTGGCCCAAACGCTGCAGCCGAGCTGGAATTCCCCTGCCCTGGGATAGCAAATGAGTGTCACAGTTCTGAGCATGGATTTGGGATGCAGATCATCCTGCTCTTCATCCCTGCTGGCAAAGGGCTCCCTCAGCCCTGCCAGTGTCACTGCCTTGGGCTGGGCCTGGCTGTGTTTTCCTGCGTGGTGTTCCCAGCTGGAGCTGCTGGGAAGTGGAGGTTGTGGGGTTTGGTGCAGCTGAGAGGAGAATCCTGAACCTGTTTGGTTCAGGACAGACAAAGAGGCCCTTTAGTCAGTGGGTGACCCCTCAGCACCTCCTGGAAACTGGAGCCCTTTCCAGAGATCTTACTCTGGCTGCCCAAAACAAGGGGTGCCCCAAATTGCTGATTCTTCTGTGGCAACTTTGGGCAACAGTGAGGGGGATTCTGCCCCTCTGCCCCCCTCAGGTGAGACCCCCCTGCAGAGCTGCCTCCAGCCCTGGGGAACGGCAGCACAAGGATGTGGAGCTGCTGGAGAGAGTCCAGAGGAGACCCTGGAGATGCTCCAAGGGCTGGAGCCCCTCTGCTCTGGAGCCAGGCTGGGAGAGCTGGGGGGGTTCCCCTGGAGAAGAGAAGGATCCAGGGAGAGCTTGGAAACCCTTCCAGAGCCTAAAGGGGCTCCAGGAGAGCTGGAGAGGGACTTGGGACAAGGGCTGGAGGGACAGGACACAGGGAATGGCTTCCCACTGGCAGAGGGCAGGGATAGAGGGGAGATTGAGAAGGAATTCTTGGCTGTGAGAGTGGTGAGGGTCTGGGCTGGAATTCCCAGAGAAGCTGTGGATGCCCTGGATCCCTGGAAGTGCCCAAGGCCAGGTTAGTCGGGGCTTGGAGCAACCTGGGCTAGTGGAAGGTGTCGGGGTTGGAACTGACTGATCTTTAAGGTCCCTTCCCACCCAAACCATTCCATGATTCCCCCCTTATCCAAGCAGCCCCTCCAGTACCTCGGGCACGGCCGGGGCATTCTGGGCACTGCCCACCTCTGTCCCTCCCTGCAGGTGACCTCCCGCTGGACGTTCCGCTGCCCCGGGTGCCCCCAGGCCCTTTCCCACGACGATTCCCACTTCCACGAGCGGCACAAGTGCATCAACTTCTTCGTGCGGGTGTACGGGTACATGCCCCTGCTCTACACCCAGTTCCGCGTCGACTCCGTGCTCTTCAAGACCCGCCTGCCCCACGACAAGACCAAGTGCTTCAAGTTCATCTAAAGGGGAGCAGCCGGAGGTTCTCCGGCTCCCACCTCCGGCGGGAAGGGCGGAGAGGGGCCGGGGGCGGGTATCTGCGAGCGCAAAAACGCCCCTTCGCTCCGGATTCCGGCCCGCTTCCGCGGGAGCGGGACGGCCTGGATTGGGACGGGCACGTCCCGCCCCTCCTTTCCCGCTCTCCCCGCAGCAGCGACTCGACCGAGTGACGGGGAACGGGATTCCCTGGATGGGGAATGGGATCCCTCGGCTCCTGTGAGGACACTCCCTGGGATTGTACACTGAGGAATGGCCCGTTGGCCGCCGGCTCTGCCCCTTCCCTGGCCGAGGGCGGCCGTTCTTTTTAATTATAATTATTGTTATTTAAAATGAAAGTGTTTTAGATTTGCCTCGTGAGGCGCTTTTTTTGTTTTCTTTTCTTCTCCCCCCCGTTCCCTCCTCATCCCCTTTTCCCCTCAGGACCCCTCGTCCCACTTGAGGGGGTCGTAGCAAGGCCAGGTTGGAGGTGTTTGAGTGCAGCAGTGAGGTCACCACTGTTGTCCCCATCCCTTCATCCCTTTCCAGCCCTTCCTGCTCACCACATCCCGGCTCCTCTTTCCCTGTGGCTGCTCCTGAGGACTCCCAGGTGTTGGCTGGTGATGAGCCCTGGGCTCTGCTCTGCTCTGCTCAGCACCCTGAGCCCTTGGGAGGGCTGAGGTTGGCCTGGGTGACCCTTCCCAGCTCCAGGACCCGCCATTCCCATGCCACAGCCCTGGGATGTTCAGTTGCTGTGCTCTTGTTCTCCATGTCCTTTTCCACCCCGTCCTGCTAATCCTCTAAAGACAGGGAGCTTAGGGAAGATCCCCCTGCAGCACAGGCTGGGCTGGCAGTGCCCCAGGCTGGTGGAGCCCTGATCCTGATCCGTGCTCAGCCCAGCCGGGATGTGCCGGAGCCGCGGCTGCACCGTGGCCACAATTCCCGCTCTGCCTCGTCCCTCATTCCCTGTCCCAGAGCGAACCCTGCCCATGCTGGGTTGGCCATGGGCCTCAGCATAACTGCCTTAACCCCATCCCATCCTCACCCCTGGCTTTGGGCTGCATCCCAGGGTTAATCCCAGCAGGAGCTTCCCGTCCTGTGAACCAGGAGACGCCGCTGGGATCGCGTTCATGGAGTGGTTTTGGAGCTGGTTTCCTGCCCCCCCAGAGCAAAATGCTGTGACACCTGTGACCACCCGACCTCCGAGCTCAGCTCCCTGCTCCGTCCTGCATCCATCCCAGCCAGCAGGAGGGAAGGAGGCAGCATTCCCCTCGTGTGATGTTCTCCCTCGGCGCATCCCAGAGGGCTACGAGCAGCCTGGAGAAGGTTTTTCTGGGTAGGGGGGAAGGTGACACTTGTGTGATTCACCTCCATGTCCCTGCTTTTCCTGGCTCAGGTTGCAGCTCGGGATCCCAGCACCCAGCAGGATGTCACCCCCTGGCTGTGTCCCTGGTGTGTCCCAGAATGGGAGCAGGGATGGTCTGGAGCAGGGATGGTCCATCGCTCCGAAGGTGAGCCCTGTCCATGCTCCTCCTGCACCACGCGGTGGGGATTCTGTGCTCTCTCCAGACACCTCCCAGCCAGTTTTTCCTGTCAGCCCTGTGGATGGGGGTCACCAACATTCCTCCTTGGGAAGGGGAGGGAAGGAGCAGCCTGTTCCCAGCAGAGCCCACAGCTCGTGCCTTCACCGGCACCGCCGAGCGCAGCGAAATCCAGATCAAGGAATCTTTTCCCCTCTATGGCTTTTCTTTTCCTTTCCATCCCCTTTTTGCTTTAACATCAGATGCTCCAAAGGGAGCACGGGAAGGTTCACAGTCTCCTTAAAATTTCCATGGGAGACTCCTGTGAGGCTCTGAAACACCTGGAAGGACTTTCTTTGCTCCTGCTCGGAGTGGGAATGTGGCACTTTGTCAGGAGCTGCTCCAGCCCCAGCATCCCGAGAGGCCTGAGCTTTAATTCCACCCTCATTAGGAGGTGGTTCATTAGCTCAGGTCCAGCCCAGCCTTGGAGTCGGCTCTGCCTTCCCAGCCCTCCCGGCCCGGCGGGAGCACGGAATGGGAATGGTTGGGCGTGGATTGCACTTTATACAGACACAGACCCTGCTCAGCAACTGATTCCCCAAAATCTGAAGGGAAATGTCCTTCCTGTGCTGCAGGAGCCTGGGGAAGGCAGACAGGCTGGGAAGTGTTGGTGTTCCATGAGCTCTGTCAGAGCCCCAGGATGGGAATTCCGCCTTCCCTCGGAGTGTTTCTGTTCACAGCCAGTCGAGATCAGGGATCAGTGGAGCAAATCCAGCTGTTCCTCCCCCCGGGCTCTTTGGCCTGTTGCCCCAGTGTTGTTTTGTTAAAAGGATCCCCCGGTGCACTGTGGCTGAGCAGGGTTGGGATGTGTGTGGATGGGATCACAGTGGATATCGTGGGATGGATCCCAACTTCCTGAGCCCCCCGAAGGGGAAGGATTTGGGGGTGAAGGGATGAAGTGGCTGCTCTGGGGGGGGACATCCCAGGGAGGGATGGAATTCTGTGAGGAAAATAAATGCCAGCAAGAACATCTGCTGGTGCTGTCCCTCCCATCCTGCTGCTGTTTCCCTCTTTCCCAAATAACCACCAAACCCCCTGGAGCCCAGACTTGGGATTCACAGCTCCTGAGACATCCCAGGATCTGAGCTGTCCCTGGACTTTTCCTCCACCACCAGGGAGCAGAGGGGCTTTCCTGGAGCGGTGCCACCATCCCAAACATCCTCCCTTGCTACCCCCCGTCGTTCTCCCGGCATTTCCAGGGGGTCCCAGGCTCACTGCACAGCTCAGGTTTGGTTGTAGGATCCATCCCAGCTCCCGGAGCCGCTCTGGCCCCGAGGAGACGGGAAGGGCTCTCGGCGGCCGCACCTTTCCCAAGGGAAAGGCCTTTTTCCCCTTCCCAGAGTTTTCCTGCTGCTTCCCCCGGGCGTGGAGCGAGGCCTTTCCCGCTGTAAATAGGATCGTCTGTCCCACGGCCCTGCCCCCGCCCCGTGCCGCGGTTGTTGCTGCAGCTCCGCGAGCGCCAGGATTTAAAAATCCAACGAGAACTCGGAGGGACGAGAAACACTCCTTCGACACGAGCACAAATGTTGAGGTTTTTGTAAAAGGATCCAATAAAATGGAGAGTTTAACTTGGGAGCGGCTCGGCGCCTCTTTGCTGGGGTCGGGACGGGGGAGGGACCAGGATGGGGCGGCTCCGGGCCCCTGGAGCATCCCAAAAATAAGCACCTCCCAGGCTTGGAATTCCCAAGGGAGCAGGAGCAAAGGGCTGCTCCGGAATGGTGGAAACTCCTCATGGTGCTAAACCCCCTCTCATCCCTCAGGGAGCTCGTGGCCGGGCAGGGGTTGGACCTCTCTGTAGCTTCCCGGGATATCCCATCCCAGTGCCACGGTGGCACAGGGCTCCTGGTGGCATCGGGGACTCCCCCAGGGGGCTGGAAACCCCTGGATTTCTGTATCCCCCACCGAAGGGCACCTGACCCTGAGCCCGCTCCTCTGGTGGGGTACAGCCATGGAATCTCTGCCCTGCGGGGACAGGGGGATGTTGGGGGATGTTCGGGAAGAGCTGTCCGGAGATTTCCAGGCAATGAAAGCAGCAGCCGGGTCGGTGCTGGGATTGCAAACCTGCCCAGCCCTGCCCAGGGATCCTGAGAAATCCTTTAGGGGCCATTCCTATGGCATGGCTGGCTCGGGGGATGCTCCCGCTCCCTCTCCTGTGCCAGAGGCTGAGGTGGAAAACACAAACAGATCCATGGGATTTGTAAACAGATTTCCAGCTTCAAACCTGCAGGGAGGAGCAGAGGGGACAAACAGAGGTGGTTGGGCCACAAGCCATGGGCTGGAAATCCCACAGGATTTCCTGCATGTGCCTGGGTTCCCTCTCTTTTCCTTCCTGCTGGTTTTTTCTTTGCCTTCCCTCCCGAGCAGCCTCTTCCTCTGTGGTCATTGTTCCCTCTGTTCCTGCCCTTGCTGCTGCTCCCCTGGGAAATGTGCCCTTTCTTTTCCCTGCTTCCTTGGGGTAGGGATTTGTTCATGCCTGGCTTTATTTCCAGGAGAGGTTTCAGGGAACCCCCACATTATTTTGGTCCCGGAAGGCAGGAGGTGGATGCTCAGCCCAGGACCTGCCTCCCAAATTCCTGAGGTCTCTACCCAGAATATTGCAGGGAAGCTGGAATGTCGCTGACAGTGAAGGGCACAGAAATCCTGGCTCCAGGGAATTGGCCTGGTTGGGAAGCTGGTTTGGGATCTGGCTCCCCAGGGAGCCCCAGCAGCATCTTGGGCAGCGGCTCAGCTGAAGCCGATTTGATCCGGAGGCTTTTCCAGCCCTGGGGCAGCAGATAAAAATCTCCTGGAACTGCTGTGCCTGGTGAGAGGAGCCACAGCACCGGGGCTCCCGTTCCATTTCCTTTTTTCCTGGATGAGGGATTGTACCTTGGGATGAGGAAGCAGGCACTGGGGAGAGGAGGAAGCCATCAATGCCATTAATGATTCATTCCCTGCTCCCGGGAGGGAGGGCGGTGAGAAGTGCTTTACACTCCACTCCTCTGCACTACAAAGTGCCCTCGATGTTCCCCTTGGGATGACACATTCCTTGATAAAAAGCAGTTTCACTGGAATTGTCCTGTCCTGCCCATCAGTGCCATAAAATCCAGCAGCTCCTGCCAGAGCCCAGGAAAGGACCTGCTTGTCCCTTCCCAGCTGAGATGGGTGGCAAGAGGGAAATTACTGGGTTTGGGGTTTTTTTTTCCCAGCTGGAAATGCAGGAAAACACTCCTGTGGGGCTGGACACCGGGAGCAGCCCCAAGCCCACGCTGGGTCTGTCATTCCCAGGTGGATTTGGATGAGTGTTTTCCACCCACGAGCTGGAGCAGCAGCATTGCTTTCCTGGTAAAAGTGTTTGGGAATGGGATTGGCAGGGAAGGGGGAGCACTGGGGCTGCAGGGGCACAGAAATCCCAACATCCAGGCCCTTTTCCAGAGGGCCTGTGCTGGGCCTGTGCTGGGCCTGTGCTGAGCCATGTCTGGGCTGTGCAGGAT